TTAGTGCCGGTGTATAGCAAGTGAGGAAAAGTGTGCGTGCTCCGCGAAAACTTTAATATATCAACAATATCAAGGTGAATATAAATATAAATTAACATAATATTGTAATAGCTGCATTTGAAAGTGAGTACTTATTGTCAGCAGCACCGTTAAGTAGATGCAACGTAAGGGAGTACGTACTCAGGCTATTCCATGTGACTGGGCGCAAATCAAATTAGCTGCACACACCAAAATACTTAACTCAATATATCAGTAATCCAATAATCTCATCATTTATGTTAGTTAAATGAAATTTGATGTGTAATTGGCACTGGTTTAGATATTTCACATTTRTATATTCCAATGGGAATTTCAATACTGTATGAGGAGTCAGCGTGAGCACCCCTGGGTGCAGTGTTGGAAAACATAAACTGACAGCTGTTTTGTATTTGGAAGCGAGTATTTATTTTATTCARTMGAAGCGGAAASGTRAAAAAATTCTTTTTTATTTATATGTTAGCTGACTAAATGTGCGCAAGCGATTTCCAAAGTCAAAGACTGTGATCCTTTGTGATATTTAGCATGTCCATTCAAACGGGTCTGGCGTTCATATTCACAATATTAGCTTCCGTTAGTATTGTAGCTGCTATTATTTTGTTGGGTAAGGCGGCGGAAACTGAACTCTGGGATTAAACTTTGTGCTTATATTATATTTTTGAATTAATTGTTTTGTGTTTCAGGCTGGTTTTTGATTTGGAAGGCGTTTCTATCCAAATTTCGTCTGGTGCGTGAGCTGTTGGGACAAGAGGAGCTGGAGGAACCGCAGCTGGTTGGTGGAGAGCAAAATCAAAACGTTCGAGCACGTAAAGCGCGACGTGACTAAGCACACATACACACACGCGCTCACAAACAGACTCATTTACATACATAAACAAACATAGTTTGGATCGAAGATGAACATCCGCTGCGCCAAGCCCGAAGACCTCATGACCATGCAGCATTGCAATCTGCTTTGCTTGCCGGAGAACTATCAAATGAAATACTATTTCTACCATGGCTTGACATGGCCTCAGTTGAGCTATGTGGCAGAGGACGACAAGGGCAACATTGTCGGYTATGTGCTGGCCAAGATGGAGGAGCCGGAGCCCGGAGAGGAGAGTAAACATGGACATATTACCTCGCTGGCGGTTAAGCGTTCCTATCGCCGTCTCGGCCTTGCCCAGAAACTAATGAACCAGGCCTCACAGGCCATGGTCGAGTGCTTCAATGCTCAGTACGTTTCGCTGCACGTTCGCAARAGCAATCGCGCGGCCCTCAATCTCTACACAAACTCGCTTAAGTTCAAGATCATCGAGGTTGAGCCGAAATACTATGCGGATGGAGAGGATGCCTACGCCATGCGCCGCGATCTGCGTGAGCTGGCGGAGGACGACGGCAAGCCCAAGAGCAAGGACGGAGGCGACGAGGTGTCGGCGCATGATCACAGCAAACACTCACACAGAGGCGCACACAATCACAGTGGACATGATGGTCATTGCTGCTGAGAGACGGGAGATACAAATGAAATACTTACATAGAAAGCAGTAATAAGGATGTGCATGTAGGATGCGTTTTTATAGTTTTGCATTTTTGTGCGATTAGGTTTTTGTATTTATGTAATAAATAACACATAAAGCGCAGTTAAATTAAACGGAAATGACGAAACATATATTCTATCTATGTCTTACCTCTAATCATGTGGAAAATCCCAGATTTATTTTTAAGTTTCTTCGAAGTTTTCCTTGAGCGGCGCCGATTTTCGCGCCAAAACTTTATGGATTGCACCTTTTCCTACATTTGTTGGGCTTATTCGCAACTGTTCCCAGCTGTTTCCAGTGCTATAATAATGCGAGGAGCTTTCAAATATCCCCATATTGTGGTACTTTGTGGAAGTGAGAGGCAACAGCGCGAGCGCTGAGGCGGCCAGCCGCAACAGCTGTTTGAGGCCTGGCACGTGCACAGGCTTGGCGCCAAAGCAAAACAARTGAGAGAATTTCCTTGCCGCTGCGAGAGCTGTTCCCATCCAATCACAGCTGTGTGTTGTCAAACGTCAAAGTGATGCTGCTGCTGCAAGCGCTGCTGCTGTTGCTGCTGCCGCCGCCATGGCTTCGGCTTCATGCGCTCGACGTAAGCGACGTTAGTTCGTGAGGCGCTGGCTGAGCAGTAACGTCACGGTCACGGGTAACGGTACCTTTGAGACAGCTGTATCCATTCCTAACGTCGAACAGAACGTGCGTTGCAAAAGTGTTTATAAAGCATTTATCAAACAAATTATAATTTGCCAGCCACGCTGCTTGAATAAAAGTATTGAAAAGTGCTGCGAATGTAAATATGTTGATTCACTGAGCGTGCGAATATTAAATTGAACTGATGTGAATTTAATGTGGAATACGCTTTAATCAATAAGCTATCAGCAGGCGGCAAAATATGTAAAGTATGCTAACTTCAAAGACGCAACACACACATACACACACAGCCACGCGCTCTTGTATATGTGTGTATCAGTGAAGCGGCGCCCACTTTGCGGCAAAGTGCAGTGTGAAATGCCAAAGTGAGGAGATGTTGTGAGACAAAAAAGGGACTCGAAAGCAGCTGTTATTGTTATTGTAGTTGCTGTTGCTGTTGCTGTTGCACAAACGGGGTCAAAAGTTCGTGTGTAAGTGAGCCCCCAACACTGTCTGCCTAATTTCGCCGCATCCACTAACTAACAGCACTAATACTTGTTAAAAGCTYTCAAGTGCTCGCGTGTGTGTGACTGACTGACTGTTGGTGTGTGAAAGTCAGTGGGAGAGAGAAAGAGAGAGAGAGAGGGAGAAGACGCTGGCCAGACAAAAGCGTCAGACAAGTGCGCCAAAATAGCCTACGGATAGACGCACACACACACACATTCAACTGAGAGTGGTGTAAAAACACAGTTGCACACATACACATGCACACTTATGCATAGATCTTCATATGTATTTATATATGTGTGGCAACGCAAAGACAAACTGGGCCAATTCGCGAGTGAGACAAAAAGCCAAAAGGAAAGTGCAACAAAAAGTAGCAAAAAAATAAAAAATAAAGAAAGCATAAGGCAAAAAGAAAACTTCTGCCACATTTGTCAATGACTGAGGCCAACGACTCGCGTGACTCGAGGCATAACAATAACCGACTGCTGTCCCGCTCTCTCGGTCTCTGGGTCGCTCTTTAGGTAAGTCAGAAGCCGCCTTCACTTCAAAGCAAACTTCAGCAGYGAGTGTAATGACATTTGTCAACGGCATAATGYYGAATGCTGACACTGCCTCGCACTATGCCACGCCCCCACAGCTCATAGTCATAATCATCATCATCGTCAGCGCCATCGCCATCATCATTATCATGATTGTCCTCATTATGGTCTTTGTCACTGTCAACAGGAGTTTAGCTGCGTCTGTCAGTCGCAGCGTCAGCC